ACGTGAATTTTCTCGACGAAATGCGAGAGTGGACGAAAGTACAGACGGAGCAACAGGTCTAGCATCCCCGCGACGCAACGGTAGTCGTGCCTGTCGCGTGAAGTTGGCAACGCGTTCTACAAATTTTCATTTCCATCTCCGCCATCTCAGATTTGATCATAGTTCACGATTTCGCGTCGTTAAACCATTACGGGAGTGTCGGGACTGTCGGGTGGTTAGCATAAGCGAGATTTCTACACGTTTTTGTTCCTTTGTTGTGATTTGATGATGTGCTCGTCGCGATTAGCGGTCACGAACGATAAACGGGAGGACCGTGAAAAGTCGTGTGGTACGTGAGCGGGTAACCTTACTTTGTGAATCGAAAGTGGAGGAGGAGGAGGACTGGAATGGCATCAGGCAACGGCGGAGCAACCGTGGGTAAGTCTCTTGTAATCAAGAGTTAGATCACTGATGTAATTTCGGTGAGCTCATATTCGAGTACCACAGGCCACAGGCGCGCAATAATGATCGTTAAGCCTAAAACACAACCCAGTAAACATCAACTAACAGTAACATAACATCATTGTTATGTTACTGTTAGATGGTGTTTACTGGAAACCGAAAAGCACATGCAAGGAACAGGGAATAGATTTCAACATCAGAAACCTGTACACCACATTGGTTTTAGATATGTTGAAATCTGTTCTTATTGTCTGTGCTTTTCATTTGTATCCCTTTATACTTATTTTCGAAGAAACGAATCTCGATGTTCGGCGTAAGACGCTTTCTCACATATTTATAACGTTTCAAATTGAATTCAATGAAATTATATAGATATTTGGCTTTGTTACAATTTATTATACGCATTACTTTTTTCTTTTGTATTCTATCATGTGTTATTTGTACTTTTTCTTTTTTTTGTCTAAGTTGATTGTATATGTGATGCCTCATTTTACATTAATTTGTGTAATGTCTTATAGAAGATATTTTTTTAATTTTATTGTTAGATACTCAAAATATTTGATAGAGTATGAATAATACATTTAATGTTTATTGGAAATTAAAAAGATATTCATAATATATCTGATGTAAAATATTAAAAATATTTAAGACTGATTTGCAATTTTTTTCAATATGAGAGGATTGATTTATATATCCAATTTTACAAAGATTAACATCTGAAAATCATTTTTCAGGAAATAATATAATCTTTTTCTTTGTTTCATTTTGAAAGGAAGCAAATAAATATGTAGCATTTATTTTTTTAGATATTTTCTGTGACCCTGCTTTTTAATGTTTGAATACATTTATGTTTTGCAGATGAATATTATAACCTCCGCTGCTGTGCATCGGTATGGTGAGTCTCAAATTATTTTAATTTTCTGGTAAAAAAAAATGTATTTGTGAAAAATATCCTATCAAATATATGTAATAGTCTTGTCCTATTGATTATAACTAATAAAAGATAGACTAATAAGATTGCAGTTTTTGATGATAGTAAAAATACAATAGTAATATATTTTATATTTATTTTTAAACGCTATTTAGGCCCGATTGCATCAACATTACTTTGTTTTTTAGCGAGACTTAAAACTATTTATCTCTATCTCTTTTTCGGCTTTAAAATGATGGATAGAGTTTTAAGTTTCTCTTAAAGTCAAAGTAACGTTAGTGTAACTGGACCTTAATAGTGTTTAAGAATAAAATATACTATTGTATTTTTATTATCATTAAAAACTTCAATCTTTATCTCTTATTATTTGTAATCAATAGGGCCTTAATATTTGAATATACATTATTCTTATTTTTATAATTACAATTTAACTAAAAGTCAAAAGTTTATAAGTTTTTAGAGTAAAAGAATGTCATAGAAATAATTATAAATCACAAATTCATTAAACAAATTCCTTGGAATGGATGGGCTGTGCTGCAGATTAGTGTCATTTAATTAAAAAATATTTGTACACAAGTTTTTTCCTATGTCTGACAAGGAATGCATTATGATACATCATACAAGTAAAGCTTAAATAAATATCATAATGGACTCAATAAATAATTAAATAAATATATATTCATATAATTAAATAAATCTTGTAAATGCATATTATAAATCAATCACCAATCATCCTTACATATTATAATTAATTTATCATTATCCGGTTTAATCATTTATTGCATATTTTGGAACAGCAGCATCTCATTATGTGACAAATTAATCATTATTATTACTGTTAGTTACAAAAGAATGGTATTATATAACATTATAATAATATTATATTAATATGAAAATTAAAAAATATTCAAATTATAGTCAAAAAATCTATTAAGTAATAAATACAGATAAAATCAAAGAATTTTTTTTAATAAGTAAACTCTAAAGTGCAATTATAATTTATACTTACTCATATAATATTTTCTACAAATTGATTATACAGTTTGAAACATAAAGTATATGTGCATAAGTAATTGATATTTATATAGTTGCTAATATTTATGTTCACATTTGATCATTGATATACTGAGAAAAATTTCTTATTGAAAATAAACGATCTAGAAGATTTTGATCACATCATTAATTACAGTTACAGTACTTCTATTCTACAGAACAATTAGACAGTGATTGCGGCAAATGTCGAATACCATTATCAATTATTTTCACGTATGTTAATAGTCTTATGGATCTACAATTTAATATACAATTACAATGTTAACTACAGCTACAGAACTTCTATTTTACAAACGTGATTTCAGCAAATATAGAATATATTGTGGTTACTGCCAATTAATATTAATTTTAATATTAATCATAATTCTGGTTGTCTCAACTAGAATTATAATTGATTCAACCAGACAATTCTGATTTGTTCAATTTCAATTAGAATTTCAATTAATACAATCCAATTCTTTTTTCATTTTAATATTTATAAATATGGTAATTGGCAATGATTGCGATATGTTCTATATTTGCTGTGATCACTATTTTATTTTTCAAATTAGTACTGTATCTATTATAGTATAATGCTTGTTACGCTTATTGGTTTATTTATAGGTGCAGGAATTAATTAAGATATGCGGTAGAATTAATTAAAATAATTGACAGTGATCGCGATATATGTATTCTATATTTGTCGTGATCACTGTTTAATTATTCTTGAAATTGTGACTATTAATATTATGCTTGTTACCCTTATTGGTTTATAGTTAAGTGAATTAATTAAAATACGCGATAGTAATTGGCAGTGAAATATATTCTATATTTGCCGAAATCACTGTTTGATTGTTCTGCAAAATAGAAGTTCTGTAGCTGTAGTTGACATTGTGATTGTCTAATAGATTGTGGTATATTGTGAATGCATGAGCCTATTAAAATACATGAAAATAATTGATAGTGGTATATCCGACATTTGCCGCAATCACTGTCTAATTGTTCTGTAGATTAGAAGTTGTAGCTGTAGTTAATGATGTGATTGTTATGTCCATTAGATTATGGATGCATGACTTTATTCAAATATGCGATACAACTGGCATTGATAGCGATATACTCTACATTTACTGCAATCCATGTCTAATTGTTCTATAAAATACAAGTGTTGTAATTAATATTGTGATTGTTACATTAGATTATAGATGGAAATGTTAATTAAAACGTGATACTAATTGATAATGATCATAATACATATATTTGATATGAGCCACAATTTCATATTCAGTTTTACAGATTAGACGAAATTAAATTAGATATTACAGTTAATACTGTTATGATGTATATTTAGAAGATTACATATATGAATTAATTCAAAGCCTTCGTTTTATATTACTAGTATGCTCTTTATGCAGTTGTAATTGATTGAAGGTAGATTTTACAGTAGTTAATACTGTAATCGTTATAATCAGATGCTGCGTTACCGAAACTTATTACATTTTGATTTGAATATTCTATAATTATAATAAAAAATTCGTTATTCAGTTTAAGTAAATAATAGATTTTTGCAATAATTACATGACTGTAAAAAATAATACGCAGAGATTATTTTAAGATATCAGAAGCTTGAAAGACATACAAAAAATATTTTAAATAAAATATTTATTATTTTATGAAAAATCATATAACACGTATTTCTAATAATTTATTTAATAAAATATTTGATTATTATTAACTATATTTCTCTTATAATACACTAATTTTATTCTAGTCTTCAACACAGCCCAATCATTTATTTACCAGATTTATTATAACTTAAATTTATATTATTTGAAACAATATTATATTTGAATTAACGTGAAGAAGAAAAAAGAGAGACGTAAGATCCAATAAATATTTTGTTAAAAGATAAAATAATTTTTTATACTAATTACGTTATTAATTAAAAAATTGATTGGTTACATATATACAATTATATTACTGTGATATTGAAATATCTTTAATGTATTATATTAAAAATGCTGCTCCTGGCAATAATATTAATAATATTTGTTTGACTAAAACTTTACAGTAGCACTATATAGAGAATGTAGAATTTGCGTTAGTAATATTGATTGCGAGAGCGAGACAGAGAAAAGCATCATTTGTATTGGATCTGACGTCATTTCTCTTTAATGTGACATATCAATTTTATTCATTGCATTGTGCGATTAATTTTGTACTTTACGATTAAAATTTAAAATAGATCAACAATACATTAATTATATACCAATTTGCACAAATTGCATAATATGCATATTTATGTTCTGAGCGCGAAAACACAATTCTGTTAGCCAATTTTGATGTTGAAAGACTATTGCAGTCTCAAACATTTCCGTAAGATTCTTAACTCTATTTAATTTTTTTAATTCGTTTTCCACATATAGTGAAACTTTTTCGAGCTATTTAATCATTAAACAAATAATATGTTTTGCGTGAAAGTTCTTTCGTTTAACATGGAATATCGAGAAAATCGCAAACTAGAATAAATGCCATTTCGTGTTTTATTTGTAATTAAGTTGGAAATTTCAATCCCCAAAACGCATTGTAATCCACTTACCACTGTCGTACCGGAAACTCGACATGTCCTGAGCAATCCAATCCAAAATTCAGATACCCCGAGAGTCATGTCGACATCGCCGAGGCTCTCTGATATTTAAATCCTGAGATGTTATTTCGTCAGTGTTCTGCGAGGCATCCACATTGCCAAGCGCTAACGAGATTTCTCAGTTGCTCGAATTTTCAAGTAATGCGACTGGCCTTTGAGAGAAGGAGTACACGTCGCCTTACTATTCAACGGGGTATCGTTGAAAGTCCTCCCAGGAGCCTATTTCGCCAACGGCAATGGAGAATCCCTTTGATCCTGTAGGCGGAACGTCCATCAACAGGTGTACGAGTTGGTGGCGAAGATATAGAAGTCGTTCCTTCTCTATCTCTTTCTCTTTTACCCTTTCTCTTCCATCTCTTTTTCTCTTTTCAATATTGTTTCGTTGCTTCCGTTGAATAGGGAAATTCACGTAGGGATGGTTACATGCTATTTTTAACGCTGATACGAGAAAACAATGGACGTATCTGGCGGACGGTCCCCTCAGGCCGTGACCAACCTGCTGGTTTCAGTGGTTTCCCTTTGCCCTCCAAAATGCGATGCCTTTGATGATGGTCGCTGGGTGTTACGGCCGCGTATCGATTCCCATGAGACATCGTTTTGGAAAGCTGGACAGACGCGCGTTAACTATGATGCTGTCGCTCGTCCAGATGGACCAACCCCTTTAATACTTGATAGCTCCAGCGATTACTCTCTCGATGAAATTCTATATAATTGCGCCGCCTAAAAGCAATCCGATTTCAAAAGTTGAAACATTTGTGAAAGTGACTCGTACATTTGTTAAGTGGAAGTTTTCTCTGAAATAGAATATTATAGAATTTACACGAAAATACATTTCAGAATTGTTCTATAACAGTCAAATATCAATAGGTATTCAATCATATTCGTAGGGATATGAATTAATAGGTTTTGACTCTAATTTTATCGAAAAATCGATACTTATATTATTTGCATTTATGGCACTTTAAATATTTCAGTATATCGATTATTCCGTAAAATTAGACCGTTAAATTCTGCATATGAAAGAAAATTTTACACTACGGAATTAGATGCACGGCGAAAAGTATTTTCTTATTTTTAAAACACCAAAGATAATTTCTTCGAAAATATGAGAAGAGATTCTTGTTAAAAATACACTTAAATTTAAATTCAAATTTATCACCGTGACTTTGTCACAGTCATTTTGCTCGCGACTGTATAATTAATTGTATGGCCAAGGCTTTGCACACTTCATCGTTTATATGCTACGTTAGTTGGTGCATCACGGCATTTCGCGAGATGCTACTAGACGTTTTACAATGTTAAACACTGTGTTCACATTATTATTTTATCTTGTGGGCTTAGCAGGGCTATCTCTTCTCGGCAAAGTTTGGGGATTCTAACTGGGCGATTGCGCGGTATATAGGTCGAACATTCTCGTGTATCGTAATTTACAGTATCATTACGTCTTAATATTGCTTCCACGGTCGCTCTCCACGCGTTTGGGCGATAGTGCAGTGCTATTACTCTTAATTGCGAGAAAGTAGGTTGTGACGACACAGTGGTTTGATATTCGCTCTCTTCCCGCGCTTTCGAAACGTGAGCCTCACTGCCCTTGGTGATAGACGAGGGGATGACAGAGGTATCGATTTTTACGGGATGTAAAAACGGACTAATATACAACAGTAGCAAAAACCGCCCGATTCAACTTTATACATAAATCAAATATATCCAATCTGCGAACCGAAGAAACTTTGGGACATATCACTATCCTATACGTGCTATTCAAAAGGATAAAATAAGAAACAAATCTTAAAAATTGCTACACGAAAAATACGATTCTGCTGAAAAATTTGAAATTTTGCTGGGTATAAATCTGAAAATAATTTTGTTGGAGCATTAAAATAACTTTATTGAAAATTCAAACTAATTGCTGGAATATTTAAATTTTTGCAGTATTGCATTCATCACTTTTTAGTTTCCAACTTATATAATCATTTTGATGGTCCAACAAAATTATTTTTAGATCTTTTAGCAAAATTTTTTTTTTATGTAATTGGGAGCAAGTGTAGAAATACTTATTACTAATATGTTTTGAAATTGATAAGTTATTTATACGAATATCAACATTTCGCTCACAGAAAGAATAATTTTGCTGAATTTAAAATTTTGTTGGATACAGATCTGAAAATAATTTTGATGAACCGTCAAATTAATTTTATTGGAAATTGAAACTGGTTGCTGGAACATTTTTGTAGCATTTTTTAATTTTCCAATATAATTATTTCAATGGTCTAAGAAAATTATTTTTGAATGTGTCTGAATCTAGCAAAATTTTAGATTTTTTAAGTAAGATTGTTTTTTTTAGATATAATCATGCGTTTATTAAACTTTTGAAAATATGAAATAAAAAGTAGTCTATAATATTTTATTTCTTTCATATGATTACATTATATGCACTGCTGCAATGCATGATATTCGTAAACAGTACTTTATGCTCATTATTTATTATGCTTAGAATCTTCTTTGAAATTACATTAACAGATTAGAGCTTTTTAGCACTAATCTTAATCACGATTGTGTGAAATATACGGCGCCACATTTTCGACCGTACTTCAAGTAACTTAATTAAATGTGCTACCACGTTAGCGTAAGTAAAGGAACAATTTAGTCTTTCATAACCCGTAACGAGCGAAATTCACACAATTTTCACGATCCTCCACAATCTTCAACTTTCCTCGAAGGGCCCTTGTGCGACGCAAACTGCGAACTGAGCATTTCGGTGTGGTAAGATTTATGAAACATAAGCGATTTTCTCTAAAAGACTTGGAAGCGTGAGTGGCGTACATGCCTTTCGCCCTTAGAGTTGATCCAAACTTCAACTGATCTATCTCTTGATTCCACTTGTCTCACATTCGATCTTTTTTGACGTGTATTCCATCACTTATTTTCTTCGATAAAAAATATATTTTACAAACATAAATAAGTTACTTTCGACGTGTGATCGTTCGTTCTTTTATCTTAGGAAAATAATTATATGTTGGAGATAACTTTATACTATTTCCTAATTAGCAACTTTATAATATGATTTATAACGCGAGAAAATAGAGAATATAGATTACAACACTGAATTTATAAGTTCCTTTATTCTTCCATTTAAATGTATCAGCAGTCGCGGACGGAAATTTAGATTGGGACGGGGAACATCTCATCGATCCCTAGGGGCATTCCTTTCTCACAAAATCTGCGATCTGGCAAGTTCATTTCCTGAGCTTAGCTTGCAGTGCGGATGATTGATCTAGTTCAGATTACAATTTAATGGTAGAGCGCTGGATTGATACATCGCAACTAGAGAATATAATGAGTGAGTATCGATAACGTTTACTTAGACATCTAAAGAGCAGTAATTTGTAAGTAGAATGAGATCTTCCGATTTTCTACTTGCAACTGTTGAAGCCTCTTATTTTTCAATAAATTACGGAATATTCCAGTTTTGCATTTATTATCTGTAACACTGCACATATACAGAATATATTAAGATCTTTTATTTGACTGCACTAATTCTACATTAGCCATTCTAAGTTCAATCTGTAATACAGAATTCTTTCTGTACATACCCAGCTTTCGCGAAATGACAATTGGCGAATCTCGTGATAAACTGATAGTATAACACTTGAAAATGGATGCTATATATTACCGTCTGCCTATAAAGCGATTTCCAGCTGCTTTTTCGAGAGGCAATCTCAAAACCCTTCCGAATTTCAATACCAAAGGCTTTCTTCCTATAAGGTGCATCCGTGACCCAGGGCCTGGAATGCGGGAACATCTCTGATTAGATCAATACCTACGTCAATTCTCATGCTTACTCGACATTTCGTTCGCTCAGAATTCTCTCTCTCGCTTCGCGAGAACTTTCTTCCTGCCAAGAAAACCCTGACTTTTGAAAAAAGATATCATTATAATACTTACTAAAAGTGGAACAATTCTTTGCGTCGTGATTAAAGTCTTGCAATTGAGTATAAAATGTAGAATAATCGCGTTATTTACTCACTATAATTTTAGATGTTTGGATGACCAAAGTATATTATTAATTTTATGTGAATGGTCACCTGCAGTATAATTTTTCTTTAAACTTGTTTTTTATTTTCTTTAAACTTTTGAAAAATGAAAAAGAAGCAAAATATTACCCAGATGCCCAGAAGTCTTAAAGTTTATTACCTTTACCATCCTTTATCTCGTAAGGATAAAAATAACGAAAAAATGTTGCCGATAAATTTCCATTTATTTAACATTATTGTGCATCCATATGAAGTAGGTCCCAACTTTTAAAAAAATTAAATATATATTTTATAACTCATTCGATTGCTCATCGTTTGCACATGTATGCATATTTCGAATTTTAGTTTGCTCATCTTTAGTTAAACAATTATTAATAATTGTTACCTTGTCTACAACCTTACTTTAAGAGGTCGTAAGCTGTAAGTCTTAAGAAATTAATTAATCACAGTTGAATATGAGAAAAATAGTTGACTGTGATTGATCAATTTCTTACAGCTTATGGCTTACGGCCTCTTAAAATAAGATAAAGTTTTGGGAAGTCAATTCAAGTAGATAGATTCAAATCACAGTTACTCAAAATCATGATGAAACTAATTCCCTCAAAATTGTTTCTTTTTTTTATTAACTTTTTTATCACAAGTGTGCAAACGATGAGCAATCTAATGAGCTATAGAAAGTAAATTTTCTCAAAAGTTGAAGAGCCAACTTCTCATAGGTTTATTGTGCACAGTGTTACGACAGGTGTGATCGAACGGAGATAATGATTGACCTAATAGAGTATTTGCATAGCCATTAGCTTAAGCTGTTTCCTCTAACGTGCGTCCTTTGTCCTTTGAGGGTCAGAAGTTTCCTAAACATTTTCTCTCGCGGTTCTGACTTAGATGTCTGTTCAACATGGGTGAATTTAGGGAGAGAAACGCGAGGGAATGATATAACTTTTATTTATGGCGTGAACTTAACTCTTAAAAGGTAATGGTCTGTATTTATTATTATGCAGACTTGTTCTCTGTTAATATATTACTTTAGCAAAATGTATAAACGATAAAGAAATTAACTATATTTAATTGTTAAAATATAAAATGTATTTTATCATAAAAACGAATAATAATTATCATAAAAAGTAACAATAGTAAATTTCTGTAATTATACAATGTTATTATAAATTAAAATAAGATAACAAAAAAGAATAAAAAGAAGAATGGAAATTATTACATGCATATAGAAAATTTTGAATTTAATCAAAATTTTTCAAAATTAAATTGATTTTGTTTCTCATATAAATATTCATAATAGGTGAAGCGTGGAGTATAATAAAGAACTTTTTCATGTTCATAAAAAATATTTAACTGTATATTGGTGTGCATTGTAGAAAATATGATAAATGTGGATGAAACATTTATATCGAATAAATGGAAACAGCTGAAACAAATTGGCTGTTGCAAAACATTTCGTTAAACCCCTCATTCAAAGTACAACGCGATTTTTCCATTTGATAAAGCCGCAATAATCGAAATTCTGCTGCGCAAAGTTACATCGATTGTCAAACATTCGCCGAGAGGCTCATCGCAGCCCTACGGCGATTTATCATTTACCAACCACGTAAATAGTACTTGATGAAAAACTATACCTGAGGTGGACGTTTCATGAATGTGTCTCATACAAACATTTTACATAGTCATTCTGTA